AACCGACAAGGGGATGATTCCTCACATGAAATCTAGTCGAAAACAAGGAATACAGTTTTTTCATACGGGATGTCATTTTCGAGAAAATCGAGTTTGAAAATTCGTTAGGTACGCGACTTTAATTAACAATTAGCCGTAAATTTCAATAATTGATTTATTCTAGTAAATTACAAATGTTGAAAATGTCTTCTTTGCTGTTGTAGGCAAATTCTTGCTCGACGAATTAGTGAAGCGTGAACCCAAACTAATGTGTTCAAGTTTTTAACTGCTTCGAATGCCTGAACGATATTACCTTTCAATTGGTCCCAATTTTTATTATGGTCATAAGCTATTTTTTTCACGTGATTCCACAAAATAAAAATCTAAAGGAGTAAGATCTGGCGATCTCGGGGGTCACGCAACAGTTCCACTTCGGTTAATCCAACCTCTAATTCAATACCTCTAATTTAATAAGTAAAAACTCGATTTTCTCGAAAATGACGTCCCGTATGAAAAAACTATATTCCTTGTTTTCGACAAGATTTCATATGAGGAATCATCTCCTTGTCGGTTGTACCACGATTTCGCAAACAGCCTGTATTTTTTATTTCATTAAAGAACGAAGCAAAGAAAAATTAATAAAATACCTAAATTCAAGGATTCCTTAATTCCTCGTTCTTAATTCCTTTTTCTGATCTTTGAATTCCAACTTAACTCAAAAGCAACGCCTGTCAAATATGTTAAGTTATTTAGGTATCAATATAAACAACATCAATATAATGAGTATTGCCAGTTGCTTAAAACTAAGTAACTATCAAAAATGTATTATACCTACTGCAGTTTTTCACAATTTCACGAAACAAAATTTTTGTATTTCAATTCCATATCATTAACAATGACGATATTATTTTAACATTCGACGATATTTGATTTTAACAGAAAGGCAAGTTCAACGCTGAATTTTATATGTCAAAACTGAAACTCCGTTTCCGCTTGAATCTTCGATTTGCAACAGCACCCCGAAGCATTCGCGCAGCGTAATAAACGTTGGAATCATGCAACCACGTCCTCGTTTATCCTCTGTTCCTGTACGTGAGCACCGCATCTAACCGTGAAATCAACGATTCTTTATTTAACGATTATTCTGTGACTAGTGACCAACCAGGTAAAAAGAAAGATTCCGCTGAGGAAGCATAGCAATCGACGTTATGTCGCCATGCCGCGCTGCTGCCGGCTGCGTTCGTGACGAATGGAATGCTAATGCGAATCCGTGCCTTCGATTCTGCCCCTCGCAGGGATAAACGAGAAGATCCTGAGCATTTGGAGCCTGCTAGCTTTTCTTCCGTCGGGCTACATTAGCTTTTCACGTTGCATTGTGTTCACAACGAATCTTCGAACTTGGGACAATAAAGAACTAACCACGTGACCAAACTTTACTCCAACAATATTTCTTCTACTTTTTAACATTATTGAAAGTGATCATCACATTAAAAACTACTATCGATCATTAGTTGCAATGAATTTTCGTAATTTCAAGGCAAACCTATATTCTTGTATAAATATAAAAAGTTTTTAGAGTTCTTAACGTTTCTATTCCAAGAATTTTCTGCATAGATGCATCGACGCTCACGTTCTCCACGGACAACGAGCCGGTTGTGTGCCAAGTGTTTGCATCGATAAGAACCAGCCGGAAGTGCACCAACAAACGAAATACTTATGTATCATACTTATTTTCAAGAGCCCTCTTTAATTTATTATTTAACTTCGTTAAGTGGTGGGCACAATTTTATTTACTGGTACCAATAATTCCGATTTAATACAAGAAAAGCCAATAGAGCGATCAATGGTTTAGTTGCAAGCCGCGGGCCAATCCTTCGGTTTAATTCAACAACGACACGTTTTCGATCAGGATTCGAACGAGATCCCGCCTCCTGCTGCCAGACCTCCTTAGATTTTTGAGCAACGGTCTCTGGGTGATGTAATTCCATTTGCGTTCTTTCGACAGGGAGTCAAGATACCAAACGTATAAATAAACATCCGTATAGTCCAATACTGGATGTACAGTTAAGAGCAAAACTGAACACACGCTATTTAAAATTGAATAACTTTTGTAAAATTGAACCAAACAACCTGAGTTTTTTTTGAGAAGTCAAGAGGACTAGTTTACTAAAT